GAAGGCAGTACATTAGAGGTTGTGTCATTGTTGAAGGCACTGAGGAATCTGGTGAGTATCTCTGAAAGGATGACCCGATGGGTCAGAGGTTGTCTAGTACAGGGCTTTTCAACCGGTGGTACGGGACCATCCTGGAGAAGTGGTAGTGGGGTGGAGAGGAATGAGCTGAAGTGGCGGCAGCACCGCACAAGCCTGAGGGAGAGACAGCTGGAGCTGCAGGGCTGTCGGGGCTCAGCAGAAGCCCCAGGACAAGCACTGGGCTCCAGCTGATTGGCGCTTCCGGAAGCTGGAGGTGCCCTGAAAAGGAGGGAGGAGAGAGGAGAGGATATAAAAGGAGGTTTTGGCGGGAAAAGGCCGAGGGGCTGCCTCCGCCCTGTCCCCTGGGCATGCGAAGAGGTGGCGGTGAGTACCCAGCATCCCTGCTGACCATCCCTGCTAACCACTGAGAAAGAAAAAAGGCAAGAGAAGGGCTTCCCTTTCTGCCAGGACGCCAGCGCTTGTGTACTCGCTACCTTCTCTGTGCACCCCCAGGGGGTGGGGCAGAGACGGCGGGGGGGCTTTGCTGGCTCCAGGGCTGCCCCGTGGATCTAAGGCTGAGCGCGTTCTGGTTTTGATGGCCCCCACCAGTAGATCAGCACCACACCCACTCGCTGATCTAGCCTCACTTCTCTTTCACCGGGACTGCCTCTGCCTGTGTGGGGTAGCTATGGCCGGCGGCAGCATGGCCACCAGCAGTGCTAGCAATCTCTTCCCCTCCTGTCATCCCTTCTTGAGCATGAATGAAAGAGAAGCAGGGGAGGAATGAAGGGAGGGAGGGAGGGAGGGAGGAAGAAAGGAAGAAGGAAGGAAGGAAGGAAGGAAGGAAGGAAGGAAGGAAGGAAGGAAGGAAGGAAGGAAGGGAGCGAGCTGGGAAAGGAACTGCCTTCTGAGCGTTTCTCAGGTTTTTGTTTTTTTTAGCTGCCAGAGGCTCCGGACAGGAGGCTTCACATTTTGACCCCTCCCCATTGTTCCCTCTGTGTGGCTCTCAGCTCGCCTCTCCCAGGCCCATGCACGTGTATGTGTGCGCAAACATGTGGGGGGGGTTTCTCACTCCTTGCAGCCTCACGCTGTGACATTGGGGAGGAAAAGAACAGGAGAGATAAGAGAAGCTGTGATGGGAGCTTCTTGCAGGCTTCCACGGGGCTGGGGGCGGGAGCTGAGGGGGGCAGGGCGCGATGCGATCGGCAGCACATTGAGAAAAAGAAACAAGTACTCCAAAAAAACAGCTTTCATTAGTTTGCAGCCTACCATCGCAGAAGGTTTCTGTTGAGGGCGCGGGACTGCAAGGGGTGAAACCCCCGCCCCCATGTGCACACACACACACAGTGTGCAAGTCTGGGAGAGGTGAGCTGAGAGCCACGCAGAAGCAACAGGGGGGAGGGGTCAAAATGTGAAACCCCTGCCCACCACTGCCATCTCTACCCGAAGCCTCTGGCAGTTTAAAAATAAGAGCAGGGAAGGAAGGAAGGAAGGAAGGAAGGAAGGAAGGAAGGAAGGAAGGAAGGAAGGAAGGAAGGAAGGAAGGAAGGAAGGAAGGAAGATTATAATGAGGGAGGAAGGGTCTGAGGGAAATCCTACCTTAGCACTTGGCCACGACCAGCCCTGCTGCACTTTTGCCATCCCCTTGTCCCCTCTTCCCGACTCTCCTGGTGGTCTCCCATCCTATTACTGAGGATACTTTGGCTACAAAGCCGGGTCTCCTTGCATGGAGAGGGAGTGGACCTCCCTCTGACCCACTCATTTTGCCTTCCCACACATACCATGAGCAACCTGGCCAAGGAGAGCGAGCCAAGCAGCAGCCTAGAGGAGAAAATAAGAGCAGCTGGGGGGGGGGCCTTGGGGAAGGCTGGGCTAAGCTGGGTGTTTGCCCTCCACTGCCCAGGGCTCTGGGCAGCCTGGACTGCCGGGGGCCCTCCATGTGGCCTGAGAACAAAGGAACCGCCAGCGAAAAAATTAAAACCGGTACATTTTTCCTTTTTTTTATGGTTTGTAACATTTTATTAGATTATGGAATAACATACAAAAATACAAAAGCAAATAGTAGGACACAGTGGGGAGGAAGAAGGGGGAAAAAATGAGGGGGAGAAGGGGAAAAAAAAAGGCACCGACTTCTAACTTCCTCCGTTGCAGAAGAATGAAGCATTAACATCGAACCTCGGCTTTTTACTTTTCCATAATAGTATAAACTAGCCATTTCTATAACCCCAAATCCCGCCCCTTTTTTTCAGTCATCAAGTTTTTAACACCTTGCTAAGCACTGATGGTACTCGAATATTGTCATGTCCTAAAAGTGGTACAATCTGTGAAAAGGTTGTAAAAGCCCTGGTCTAGTAGTTCCTCCTTAAATGCTAAGGAGTAAGTGATAAGCCAGCTGATCATGCTGTAAAAACAAAAAGCAGTCTGATATTACTGGATAAAATTAACTTCTTTATCAGTTTTAGCTTTTACCAATATGTTATATTTAAAGAAGAAGAAAAACTTTAACTCCTCCAGCTTATTTTTGCTTACAAAATGTAGTGCCTTTATCTTTGATGCTTTGGACATCAATACAGTACTAAGATATCTGGATGAATATAATAAAGTGGCAATGTGAAAGTAATCTGAAGAGTGTGCTCATTTCTATACCATGCTAAGCAATAGTTTGTTTGCTTCATACAATGTGATAGAATAGATGGTTTACAGCAACAAACCATTGCAGCTTAGAGTATGATTCAAACAGAACATGGCCTAGTCACATCCCTTTGCACTACAATATCTTCATACCAAAAAATGAATCACAGAATTTTATTTGTATTTAACATCCACTGTACGTTGCACTAAGTTTTTCACTGACCAAATATTCCTTAGCAACAGTAATGTTGCTTCTCTCAGGCTGATTATAATTACAGCCCAGTAAGTCTGAGCAATTCAGACTAATCCTGATAATGCTCATTATTACTTTAACTTTTCTTTAAAATAGGATGATCAACTTGAATAAGATTATAATTAATATCAGTAGTAGGAATTTGGAATCGGGTTTAGAGAATTTCAATCCTCAGGGACATGATTCAATAATGTTACCTAATATGGAATATCAATATGGAAAACAGGCAAATATAGGTAAAACACTGAACAGCCAAATCTGTATAACATGCAGCAAAAAGATTTAGGCCTCCAATACTTAGGATAGTTTCCTGACATGGAAAATCTTGAAAGAAGACACACACAGTAACTTCTAAAATGCAGCATATCCTACAAAGGATGAAAAGGGTTGAGTGCTACATTAAGAAAAATGCAGGGAGAAATAAGAAGCAGATCAACTCCCAATTAAAATGACAGATACTACAGAATTTGCCAAGCCCTAAAATATACATTCTTTGCAATTTTTCATCTCTACAAATCAGAGCAAGCAGATAGCAACTGGTACTTCTGCACCGGTTGCAAAGAGATTCAGTTAATGCTAATAACTGTATAAAGTTACATAATAAAAAACATATTTTTTTCATCTCCTTAACTTTAGATGGAGCCTGGGAAGACTGAAATCATGTTGCCAGGGTGAGAGCAAATATATTAGCACCATGAAAACTAAGACTGCTGTACTGTTGGTGCCACCTGGGCCCACTCATTTCATCATTTACCAATCATCTGCTGAGTACTGAATGATAACAATAAAATATTTCTAATTTAAAGAAATTTTTAGCAGAAACAAACAAGTAATTCTATCTCTAAAGCTGTCAGTTTCAAAAACAGAGGGGTAAAAAATGCTACTGTCGGTATAACTATTTTACTTGGGGGGAAAAAGTACATAGGACTGTAAATTTAGACCCTGGTGCTATGCATGTTTGTGTTTATTACAACTATAATTTCAACTCACATGCTTTTACATACTAGGTTACAATAGCTGTTGATACATGCTCTTAAGCCTTAGGGATAGGGCGGGCCAAATATCTAAATGGAAGAGTTCAAGGAAGAGGCCACATGCTTATAAATCAAGGGTAACAAAGTGTATGTGTGTATGTATGTATGTGCATGTGTATATATACACACATATATACACATATGTATGTTTTTCAAAATTTGGATTGCTAAAACTCAAAATAACACATATGTATATATATGTATGTGTGTGTATACACACGCACACACAAATGTGAGCTTCAGCTGATTGTGTATGCTGGAGGTTAAGAATTTCATTGCTGTACTCATGCTTTAATTTCAATAATTTAATTTCAATAATTTAGTTTTTCTCTTAAGATTTACATTCAGAGAGGAAACCCCACACAATTGCCAAACAATGCAAGAGGAACTCCAGATAACCTGATGTCATGTTGGCAAAACCATCTAAACTACTAAGAAACAATAATGAAAAATAGAAAAGTGATTCTGCCCTCCAAAAATATTCACTAAAATTACCAGGATCTGCAACTCTGACGGGGGGGGGGGAGAGAGAATGAAGCAGGAAGAACAGGCTAAACCACTCATAGAGGACTTAGGAGGCAGATTGCCAAATGGCCCCACCCTCCCTCAAAAAGGGACAAAATAATAACAATAAAAATTAAAAAGCATTAGATTACTTCAACTGGCTGAACCCTAACTTGTGGAAGGGCAAGCCTATCCCGGAAGTCAGATGTGTTAACCACAGCGAGTTCGACCCTATATTCAAAGACATAGGAAGGAGAAAGATTATCGGGCTAAGATGCGAGTCCAAATTTGTGGGTCCCTTGAGAACACCGCGTCGGGCGCCCATCTGCAAACCTTGTGGCTATAGCACTGGAGATAAAGCGCAACCCTATGCTATCCTACTCGGAAGTCCGCACTGACTTCCAAACATTTTACTCACAGGTGCGTGTTCCGGATTACAGCCCAGGAGTTTGGGGCTGCAAAAGTAAGGACAAAAAAAATAAATAAATGCAGATCTGGCGAAATAGGAAGAGGAAAAGAGACTTCAGGGTCTATTTGTCCGTAGCACTTCAGTTCCTTACCTGGACGAACCTTCAGCAAAGCAGATCCCCTCTTCCTCGCTCGGCTTCTTTCCGCCTCCTCACTCTCGGAACAGCCACCCGAGTCCTCCACTGCGCAAGGTCACAGGCTCCGCTCTACTAGGCGAGAGATACTCCGCGTTTCGTTCCTGCTGCTTCCCCGCCGAGGGAGCCCCCGCGAGTTGGCAAGTTCGTCGCGCGCCTCCCTCACGGTGGAGTAGCGGCTTGGCGCCCGAGCGATCGGCTTTTCCTTCTCCGCCCGCAACCTGCAGCCTCTTCTCCACCACACCGGTCCGGGGAACGGAGTTCTCCTCTTCGCCTTATCGGTGAACCCCGCCTTCCGTCCCGGACGAAGCTCCGCCCCGAATGCTGCTCTCCGCCAGCAGGTATGGGCAGAGCTACAACGGAACAGGGAAGCCAGAAGGACAGCCCGGCGGACCAACCACCGTTTGCTCCCACTGCTCTGCCGGCCAGGACCTGGGCGAAGTTTGGTGGGGGGGAAAAAGCCTTTCTTAATGGAGCGTTAAAGGCGCTCAGTTTAAGCTCATTCTTTACCTGCCTATTTTTCTTAATCGTTATAAAAGCATGGCTTTCAGGAACCACTTGCTTTCACGGGCCAATTACACAGCTCTAGTTGTAGCATTTAAAACACAAGTTAGGACAAATCAACAAGTGCATTTATAGCTAGGATTCCTGGCACAATTCAGCCAAATCCCAAGAGGGCATGAATTCAGCCAAATCCCAAGAGCGTGCCTCCCAAATTGTTTAAGAACCCAGCAACACCAGGCAATAATAGCCTCCGAGACATTTAACCGGCAAGGTCACCATGTTGCCCAGCATTTACAATACAAAGATAGAACTTGCCTAACTAACCTTGTAAATCCTATGCAGGGATTTGGGTTGCTTGGCAAATACAGCATATGGGAGATCAAGAGTGACATTTCACACAAGAATGCAGACTTTAATATGGGTGGCATGTAGCTGTTAGATCTAATGGCAAAATGATTAGCTGGTTCACTTATTGCTTGCCTGTGGTTAATTGAATCATGGTTTATTAACTGATTCAATCTCCTAGTTTGTATGATCCAGTGAAGTATTAATTACACAGGCTGGATTAATGTAACGTGCTAGGCTCATATATGGCTAGTTATGGCTCAGTACACCATGAAAGCAGTTGCCAAATTGAACTTTCTGTGAAGTGCCATTTTGGGCACCATAAAATGAATCTGACAAGAAAGAATTAATTCTATCTTTTCCAGGCAAAGCTAAACTTTTGCAACCCATTGAGGGACACCCCCCCCCCATTCAATTCCCAATTGTCCCATTGACTTCAGAGCAAAAATAAATCTGTTTACATCATATTTGATTCTAAAACCTGTGTCTCTTTCAAATCATTGTTCAATTCCAAATGGAAAAAAAAAATCCAGCAGCTCTGAAATGCAATCCTTTCTCATACCCAGCCTCTTCCCATGTAATAGCATTCAAAGGTCCTCCAGCACATTCTCACTATGCTTGGTCAATTGCATGCTAAGATGGGCTTTCAGAAGCTGTTCCCATTGAAGTTTTTGGCACGAAAATGGTGCCATTGTGTGTTTGGGTGAAGGAAGGGGCCCTGACTCAGAAAGTCTGAAAGCAAAAAAGATGCCATTCTTCCACCACACTCATCATAATTAAAGCTGAGAACCAAGACTTCCACGGCCAGAAAGAAATGATTAAGTTCATTTGTGCTCCAAGCATCTTTGTGAATTATTTTTCTCAAGGTAGGAACTGGCAATCACAGACAGCAATCTCTCTGACCAAAGAGCAACAAGGCATCAGACCTGTTTGACTCATCATCCTAAAAGCAAGCAAAGAAGCAACTAATATTTTCTGCTGCAGCAAATAAACTGATAACCTGCAATTTTTTGGAAGATGTAAGGATGGCGCCCTAGTCAGCCTTAGAAAAGCTCTATTGGCTCAACTAGTCAGCTATTTTCCACTTGCTTAACAGATGCCACCCACTCAGGAGAACAGATGAGATACCTCTCTCTGGAGTCCCTTTGATTGTATTCCCCTAGCTCAGTGGTGGCGAACCTATGGCACGCGTGCCAGAGATAGCACTCGGAGTCCTCTCTGTGGGCACACGTGCCGATGCCCCAGCCTTGCCTCCTCCCGTGACCCCCTCCTCACCAGCAGCCCCCCTCGAGGAGAGTCGCCCCTGAGCGTGGCCCACACGGAGCAATGCAGCCAAGGACATGGCAGCCAGGCAGCGTAGACAAGACTCTGCCCTCACACCCCATCGCGCACTGTTGATGGTGCAGGGCGTGGGCAGAGGGCAGAGGGCATGGCCGCCATGGCGCTGCTGAGCTGCCTGGGCGATCTGTGGCGGGCCCTGGAGGTGGTGAGTGGCCCTGCGGGCAGGCAGGATGGGGGCAGGGGTGAAGGGGGCGGGGCTAGTTTTTGGGCACTCAGTCTCTAAAAGGTTCGCCATCACTGCCCTAGCTTTTAATGTAAAGATTTTAGAAATCTTGCCCATCCAAAATAGTATATGAAGCCTCTCCATCGGGTGAGCCAGAGTTTTGAACATCAAATATGTTAACCTCAACTCCAATTATTGGGTTCATACTAGGATCAATGGCCCTCAGTTCAGTGGTTCATCAAATGAACTACCCAATCAGTTAAGCTGGCATTTGTCACAATCTGGTCCTTGACCAACTGCCTTAATGGCATTTTCTAAGATAGATTGGGTAGAACAGATTACCAGTGCAGTACCTCCTTTGTACATGGGCTGAACAGCCTGACTGATGCACAATCATAAACAAATTATATAGGTATGCATAAATATGGACCCCCTGGGTCTTCAAATGTCCATTAATTTTGCATACTATCTGGATACCAATGTAGAATCAAATGGAAGGGGCCTGGATTTAAACTGTTACTTTCTATAAGGAAACGTGAAGAATCTGCAGTGCTTTTGATCTGATGAAAAGATAAAGGTGCACCTTGAATAGGTCTATTGATGCAAGACAATTGTTCAAAATGATAGCTTCATTTGGAGTCCAATGTAATTGTCCAGTGCCTTTAGGTTCAAATGGCTCTTCAGATCCCTTTCCATTTTGGAACTATGAACATATTGAAAAATAGGCAATCTAGCCTCTTGAAAACTATAATTTGCTCTATAGTGTTGTTTATTCTTAAAGATGGAGTTTTCCTTCTAACATTTTGTAATGCTTCTCTGCTTTCTTGGAAATGGGCTACAAAAGAAACCATCTCCTGAATTTGTGGTTCTCCATATTCCCTGTCCTTGTTCAATTTTTTGTTTGTTTTCTTTTTCTCCCTTTGTACTGAACCATTTTTACATTAAGAACCATAATCTGAATATTAGAAGTCCCAAATAAAAGTACAATCTCTTGATTTCTTCCCCCCTCCCTTTAGTGCCACTTCTGACTGCCCTTTTTATGGCACAAATATCTGCTTGTTTTCAATTTTGTTTGATATAGGTAACAACCTTTTAAAAGCCTACCCCCTCCCCCAAAGTGCAAGAGAATGGATCAGACACAACTATGAAAGACAGTGTTATTCCTCTGGAAACCCTCTAGGAAAAAAACATCTACTGTATACTATAGGTTTAAAATGATCACAATATTTTGAAGCATTTTGAATACAGATACAACATCTATTTCTTTCCTGAAAGATGTTTAGCAATTTAGCAATTGCTTGCAGAAAAAAATGATCAAATAAAAATTTTGCACTTATGTTCATTTTATTTGGCAAAAGTAAAGGAATATGATAAGAAATTAGCACCCCATCTGTGAACAGATGGCAATTACTCATTTTCTTACTTTATATTAAACAAAGCAACTGTAGATCAATGACTAGTGTCATATAACTAAGATAAAGAATCCTGCTGGAAACCACATGGAATTGTAACTAGAGCTGATATGACCAGACTCATAGCAAAGGTTATTTAGCTTTACAAATATCTATAAGGGAACAACCTGTTATACCATATGATCAGCTGACTTCTTTATTTTTGGTTGAGTCAAACGTATTAATTGATCCACAATTTATTAATGCCATTAACAAAATAGAAGAAATAAATTAGTGGAACCAATGAAATTATCTGTTCAATTACTATGCTGATATTATATATGCCACAGTCAATTTTGGGATTCATTGTCACTTTTAGAATAAGATAATGGCAGTGTGGGGCAGGGGTGTCAAACTCAATTTCATCGAGGGCCGCATCAGCATTGCGATTGCCCTCGGGGGGCTGGGTGGGTGTGGCCAGGGTGGGTGTGGCCTACTTGGTGGGCGTGGATGGAGTGGGTGTGGCCTACTGGGTGGGTGTGGTCAGCTCTACATTGTTCGCGTCAATGGTGCCTGTGGGGGCCTGGGCAGGAGTGGGACAGATCTGAGGGTCTCTAGCAGAAGGGGGTGGGACCAGGACAAGTGCCAAGGCATGGTCCACTGGAGGAGCCTCACTGTTCCTCCCAGGCCATGTGGGGGGGGGCTGGATGGTGCGGGCTCCCCAGAGCCCTGGGCAGCAGAGGTCAAATGCCCAGCCTGGCCCTCGAGCACCCGCTGCACAAAGCCCAGCCCCACTTCCCCAAGGGGGCGCCCAGCTGCACTTACCTCCTCCTCAAGGCTGCTGCTACTGTGCTTGCTCTCCTTAGCCAGGTTGTTCATGATGGGTACGAGGGCAAAGACAGAGGGAGGCCCATTCCCTCTCCATGGGAGGAGACCCGGCTTTGTATCCATAGCTTCCTTAGCAATAGGATGGGAGACCCCCAGGATAGGCCAGGAGGAGGGGGCAAGGGGATGGTGAAAGGGCAGCAGGGCAGGACCAAGGCAGGAGTTCCCTCAGACCCTCCCTCTCCTTTCCTTCTTTCCTTCCTTCCTTCCTAAGTACAGTGGTGGGAAAATATTTGATATGAGGGAGGGAGAAAAACAGGCAAGAAACGCAGCTGGGGAGGTGTCACCTTCGTGAGGAATGAAGAAATGCATCATCGCCTGGAAGTGGCCAGCCCATGGCCCTCACCTACTTCACATATCTGGCTTGGTGGGCTCTGGGGGAGGGGATGCCATGACCAGCGTGAGAGTCAACGTTACCTGTGCAATGCTGCCCAGACCCCAGCCTGCCCAGTTTCAGCAGGCAGCGAGGCGCTCTTCTCACAGTGCCGAGAGGTTGAGCCAGGCGGTGCGAAGCTCGCCAGCTTTGCTGAAACTGGGCAGGCTGGGGGCTAGGCAGCATTGCACTTCTCATCAGATTCGTGCCACCCGGCTTAGCCTCTCGGCGCTGTGAGGAGAACGCCCCGCTGCCTGCCGAAACCCA